CGCCACCGACTTTCGCCAACCACAAACTCTCGCACCCACATCTGTGCACCCAACTTTCGCCACCCACGTTCGCCTCCCTCCTTCGCCGCCCACTTTCGCCGCCCACTTTCGCCACCCACTTTCGCCGCCCACTTTCGCCACCCATTCGTCGCCCACTTTCGCCGCCCACTTTGGCCACCCACTTTCGCCGCCCACTTTCGCCACCCACTTTCGCCGCCCACTTTCGCCGCCCACCTTCGCCGCCCACTTTCGCCACCCACGTTCGCCACCCAGGTTCGCCACCTTCTTTCGCCGCCCACTTTCGCCGCCCACTTTCGCCACCCACTTTCGCCGCCCACTTTCGCCACCCACTTTCGCCGCCCACTTTCGCCGCCCACGTTCGCCACCCACTTTCGCCGCCCACGCTCGCCACCCACATTCGCCGCTCACTTTCGCCACCCACTTTCGCCACCCACTCCTCGTCACCCACTTCCCCGCCGCCACCCACTTTCGGCGCCCACCACCACTTTCGCCGACCACTTTCGCCCACCAACACTCTCGTCTCTCGCCACCCACTCTCGCCACCCACTTTCGCCGCCCACTTCGCGCACACCACCGCTTTCCGCCACCCCACGTTCGCCGCCCACTTTCGCCGCCCACTTTCGCCGCCCACTTTCGCCGCCACCTTTCGCCACCCACTTTCGCCACCCACGTTCGCCACCCACGTTCGCCGCCCACTTTCGCCGCCCACTTTAGCCGCCCACTTTCGCCACCCACTTTCGCCGCCCACTTTCGCCGCCCACTTTCGCCGCCCACTTTCGCCGCCCACTTTCGCCGCCCACTTTCGCCGCCCACTCTCCCCACCCACTTTCGCCGCCCACTTTCGCCACCCACTTTCGCAGCTCACGTTCGCCGCCCACGTTCGCCGCCCACGTTCGCCGCCCACGTTCGCCACCCACTTTCGCCGCCCACTTTCTCCGCCCACTTTCGCCGCCCACTTTCCACTTTCGCCACCCACTTTCGCCGCTTATCGCCACCCCATAAGTTCGCGCCGCACTTTCGCCCACCCCAACTCGCCACCCACTCCCGCACTCACTCTCCGCCGCCCACTTTCGCCACCCACTTCCGCCACCCACTTTCGCCGCCCACTTTCGCGCCACCGTGGGATGCAAACTTTCCTTCGCCACCGATTTCGCCGCCCACTTTCGGCCGCCCCACTTTCGCCACCACTTTCGCCCACCCACGTTCCGCCGCCAACTTTCCGCCACCTTCCTTCGCCACCAACACACTTTCGTTCGGCCACCCACACAACTCTCCAGCCACCAAGGTTGCCCGCCGCCAAAACTTTCGCGTACCGCCACCACCACTTTCGCCACCCACTTCTTCCCTGCCACCCACTTCGCACCCACGCTTTCGCCGCCCACTTGCGCCGCCCACTTTCGCCGCCCACTTTCGCCGCCCACTTTCGCCACCCACTTTCGCTCGCCACCCACTTTCGTTCGCCGCCCACTTTATCTCGTTACCCACTTTCGTTCGCCACCCACTTTCGTTCACCACCCACTTTCATTTGCCGCCCACTTTCCTTCGCCACCCACTTTCGTTCGCCACCCACTTTCGTTCGCCGCCCACTTTCGCTCGCCACCCACTTTCGCTCGCAACCCACCTTCGTTCGCCACCAACTTTCGTTCGCCACCCACCTTCGTTCGCCACCCACATTCGCACCCACTTTCGCCACCCACTTTCGTTCGCCACCCACCTTCGTTCGCCACCCACTTTCGCCACCCACTTTCGTTCGCCACCCACTTTTCGTTCGCCACCCACGTTTTGCTGGCCACCACGTTCGTTCGCCATTCGCCACTTTCGTTCCCACGTTCGTTCGCCACCCACTTTCGTTCGCCACCCACTTTCGTTTTCGCCACCCATTTTCGTTCGCCACCCACTTTGTTCGCCACCCACTTTCCGTTCGCCACCCACTTTCGTTCGCCACCCACTTTTTTCGTTCGCCACCCACATTCGTTCGCCACCCACTTTCGCTCGCCACCCACTTTCGTTCGCCGCCCACTTTCGTTCGCCACCCACGTTCGTTCGCCACCCACTTTCGATCGCCACCCCCTTTCGTTCACAACCCACGTTCGTTCGCCACCCACTCTCAGACGCCACCCACAAAGTGGGCGTCGAAAGTGGGTGGCGAAAGTGGGTGGCGAATGTGGGTGGCGAAAGTGAGCGGCGAAAGTGCGTTGCGAAAGTGGGTTGCGAAAGTGGGTGGCGAAAGCGGGTGGCGAAAGTGTTGCGAAGAGTGCGAAAGTGTGCGAAAGTGGTGGCGAAAGTGGTGGCGAAAGTGGGTGGCGAAAGTGGGCGGCGAAGTGGGTGGCGAGGTGGGTGGGTGGCGAAGTGGGTGGCGAAAGTGGGTGTCGCGAAAGTGGGTGGCGAAAGTGGGTGGCGAAAGTGGGCGGCGAAAGTGGGTGGCGAAAGTGGGTTGCGAAAGTGGGTGGCGAAAGTGGGTGGCGAAAGTGGGCGGCGAAAGTGGTGGCGAAAGTGGGTGGCGAAACTGGGTTGCGAAAGTGGGTGGCGAAAGTGGGATGCGAAAGTGGGTGGCGAAAGTGGGTGGCGAAAGTGGGATGCGAAAGTGGGTTGCGAAAGTGGGTTGCGAAAGTGGGTGGCGAAAGTGGGTGGCGAAGGTGGGTGGCGAAAGTAGGTGGCGAGAGCGGGTGGCGAAAGTGGGTGGCGAAAGTGGGTGGCGAAAGTGGGTGGCGAAAGTGGGTGGCGAAAGTGGGTGGCGAAAGTGGGTGGCGAAAGTGGGTGGCGAAAGCGGGTGGCGAAAGCGGGTGGCGAAAGTGGCTGGCGAAATTTGCTTGTCGTGAATAAGCTGTACGTTGTCGTGTTTTTCTCTTGTCGTGTTTCAAGTTTCCTAGTCGTGAGAACACCGTTTTGCGCCCCGCCTTCAGCCCGACCGATGCCTGACCGCATTCGCATCTCTGCGCCCACTGATTCGTGTGTGCGTGTGTGCCCGCACCGTTGCTACGCACCCCGCAGGTCCTCTCCTTTCCGCTGGCACGCCCGCTTAGGTCTACACGGTCGGAGCGGTTCCGTCCTCCCCATGCTCCGCTCCTCCCTTCCCGACATGCCCCAGTCAACTTTGAACGCCCCGCCGTCGGCCCGACCGGCGCCCGACTGCATTCGCACCGACAACGGTAACATCGCTGTTATCGTTGCTGTCGTTGTGATTGTTGTGATCGTCGTTGTTCCTATCGTTGTTACCGTTATCGTTGTTAACGTTGTCGTCGTTGTGATCGTTGTCGTTGTTACCGTTGTCGTTGTGTCGTTTATCCTTGCGCCCGGTGCCGTAAAAGTGTGCGCGCACCCTCTCCTCTCCGAGGCCTTCTGGGCCAAGTCCACCCCGACGGGGGCGACGGCTCAACCTGAACTACAAGTAGTTTGTGAAACAGATCCACGTCACTGCTAGGTACAAAACACCATGTGCACCCGCTCCCCCCCCCCACCGTCTGAATCGGCGACGAAGGTATACGCAGTTGATTACGCACCCCCCTTTGGTCTAGGAGTGAACATGCCCACTCTGAGGGCACCCTTGGTCCTGTCAGTCTCCAGCGTTTCGGCGTGTGGTTGGCTATCCGCATCAGGACCTGCCACAACCGACCACACAGGGCAGGCCGACGCTGTCACGAACGACGCCTCTATTTCCGCCTGCGTGAAACATCAATACGTGCAACACCCAAATCGCCAGAAGATGGCCATTTGGCCTTCAAAGAAGGGAAGAAACAACTGCCCCCTCTTTCGTGACATCGCGTCCTCCCCGCTGATGCATTGCTGGCCATCCGCTGGTGCTCCCCCTGTCCTTGAACGGGCGCCAACAACGGCCCAGGGGCGTGAGCCACCTGACCCCTGCTGTTAAGCGCGCGTGGAACGCATCGCTCGTGCCACCTGCGGGTCCCCAAGCTCGGGCCAGAGCCGCCGGGGCCAAGCTACCGGACTCGAACACGGACACGGCAACAAAGTCAGAACGCAACTGCGAAGCCCAATTTTTGCTAAATCGACAATTGCTCCTTCTCTGGCTGCTGGGGCCGAGCACTGGAAAACTGAGGCCTCAAAGCGACAACGTGGACGCAAAGCAAGCCCCCACGCCGAAGTCGAGCTCTGGCGAAACTTTCGGCTCATACCCAATAGTTTGCAAAACAGATCCACATCACTGCTAGATGCAAAACACCATGTGCCCCCGCCCCCCCCCCCGCCACCGTCTGAGTCGGTGACGAAAGTACACGCAGTTGATTGCGCACCTCCCGTTGGTCTAGGAGTGAGCATGCCCACTCTGAATGCACCGCTGGTTCTGTCGGTCTCCAGCAATTCGGCGTGTGGTTAGCTATCCGCATCAGGACTTGCCACAACAAACCACACGGGGCAGGCCGACGCTGTCACGAACGACGCCTCTGTTTCCGACTGCGTGAATCATCAACATGTGCCACACCAAAAATCGTCAGAAGATTGCCATTTGGCCTTCAAAGAAGGGAGGAACCAACTCTACAAGCAACGGCCCTCAAGGAGACATCCTCGGGGGGGGCGTTCCGGGAGTCCTCGGAGGCTCCCTGGAGATCCATCGGAAGGAATATAGCAGGAGGGATGAGGGACGAGGGACGCGTGAATGTGTAGCAGGAAGTGGGAGAAGGGGGTGAAGGAGGGAAGTGGGAGAAGAGGGAGAAGGACGGAAACCGTCGTCCGCGCCGCCAGGAGATCCAGCAACAGCTCGCCGCCACATGAAGACGGCTCTCTGCAGAGCTCGAGGCCTTCCAGATGGGGTCCGAGTAGATGGGGTCGGAGGATCACACCGCAACGCCAATGCATCGCCGATGCATCGGCGATGCATCGGCGCCATCGGCGTGGGGAGATCGGGCCCCACATCGAGCCGCATCGGCGATGCATCGGCGATGCGGCGCGGTCCTCCGACCTCATCTCCTATGACCTCATCTAGGAGGCTTGGAGGTATTGCAGTCGATGTAACTGTGCAGCGCTCAGGCTCCGGCTGGTCTCCACTCTGACCCGTCCGCGGCGAAGTAGCCGTACCGCTTCGAGATCGCCTCCTGAACCTCCCACAGGCAGGTGAACCCTTTGCGGAAGACGACCCAATCCCCGGCTTCGATGACGACCTTCTCCCCGCCAGGCAGCGTCAGGGTCGCCCTCCCCTGCAAGACCAGGCACCTCTCCTCTGCAACGCCTGGGCGGCTCTCCCACCAGCGAGACTCCTCGAAGCGGCCAGCGGGGTCTGGCAGCGCAGGGCAGTTCCAGATGGGCCAGTGCTCGCAGCCTACAGCTCGACCTTTGACAACCGACAGCAGCCCATTGCCCGGCTCGGAAGCAAGACGGGGCCACATTGGGTCTCGGAACTGCTGTATCTCCACCAGGTGTCCGTCGGGATCCCGGATGAACAGGTGATAGATGTTGTAACGGGGGTTCAACGTCGGCTCCTTCTCAAGTGGGACCCCAGCCTCCATCAAGCGCAGCGCCCACTGATCGACCTCATCCGAAACAAGGCAAATAATCACGCCGTCTGGCTGCACTCCAGTGCTGGCCAATGACGCTGGATCGCGCTGGCAGAGGCCCACAAACGCCGTCGGCGTAACCTCGAATATGCGAACGACCGGGGCCGCCTCCCCTGCAGGCGTCTGATCCAGCACGGCTTGAAGTCCGAGAAGCTCGCCGTAGAAGCGGGCACTCCTCGAGAGCGGAAACGAATCAGTATCCGCAGCTTCGTGGGCCCGGACCCTGGGCAGCGACCCTGTGGATACAGGGCGCTCTTTTGTCCGCGGATGCCTCGGGCGGGACGTATCCACGCGACCGCGCATCCACGGCATCGCGCCCTGCAATTAGGACCTCGAGGGCATGGGCACGGATACCTGTGCTCGTCGCTCGTGGGCTCCGTTCGAGATCCCGCACGTACACGAAAGTGACCTGCTGGGCGAAGCCGCCGCCGGCGCGCGCCGAAGCGGCGCGGCGGCCGGCCGCGAGGACGCGCCCGCCAGCTCAGACCACCAGCGCCACGACATGCTGCTTCTCTCGACTGGCGGCCCAGAGCTCTCGGCCCCGTCTTGGCAGGAACTGCCTGGATCGAATCAAGAAATCGGATCGAATCGGAATGTGCATCGAATCGAGCCGACTCGGAATGGAGTCGGAATCGGATCGGATCGGCCGCACCAGGCGCGACAATTCTCATAACATGCGAACGTCGGGCGGCATCGGCGCATCGCATCGTCGGAACATCGAAATTGAGCTGGATCTGGTCGGCTGAAATTGATGTCCGATTGGATCGATCGAATCGACATGGACCGCGTCTGCTGCGACGCGCGACCAGGGCGGCCTTTTGAGAGGGCGGGGGCCCTCTGAGTAAGGCAAACGCCGTCTTGGAGGGGCACGGAGGCTTCTGCGCACGAGGATGTTTTCTGAAGACGAGGGTGTTTCTAAGGAGCCCCCTTGCAACGAGGCCAGGACGAGGACAGATGCGGGTGAGGATAAATCGAAACTCACTGAGATCCAGCTGCTCTGGAGGATGCATCAGGCGCCGTAGCCTTTGTTTTCAGAGCGTTCCAGGACGCTCTGAGAGCGTTCTGGAGCGCGCTGGAACAGATTGTTCCTCGTCGTAGCCCCGTCCGACCCCTGTCGCCCCGCCTTATTTTCAGCAAGAACCGACCGTTCCGGCATACCCATAGGCCTACCAAGACATGTTCTCAGAACCCAAGAATGCTCTAATATCAAAAACAAGGTTCCTAGAACATATAGACGATGCGTTAAAACAAGAATGCCCCAGCCAGAAATGTTCAAAGAACATGTCGTGAGAACCACAGAAAGTGTATTAAAACATTCTTGGTGTGCTCGAAGGCAAGCCAGGACGCCTCGCCACTGCTTGATTCTTAGAAATTCGCCGCCCCATCGCGCGAGGCAGGTCGATTTCGCTTGCGGTCGGCTTCGCCCCATATCGGGTTCGCCCCTGTCGATTTTGCGCCCCGCCCGTTTCGCCCCCTCGGTGTCGCCCGGACGCGTTCGCCCCAACGATTTCGCGTGGCGAGTCTGGGTGTGAGTGAGTCTGACTGCGACTGAGTCTGAGCGCGAGTGGATCTGAGTGTGGAAGAGGAGGAGGAGGGGGAGAAGGATGAGGAGGGGGCGAGAGGAAGGAGTCGGAGGCGTCGAAGTAATAACCAGAGGCCCGTCTAAGAATCTGGGAAATAACTGTTGGACCCCCCGAAGGGCTGTTGCTTCGTCGCGGTCGGTCGTTAATGGTCACGGGGCCCAGCACAGGCATTCAGAGGCAGAGGTCGTGGAGCAAGCGGCTAATTACCTCGAATGTTCTTCAGCAGCCTCGTGTGTGGGTCCAAAGTCAGGAGTCGACCCCAGACTTTACCAGGGGGGCGCATTGGCCAGAACTCCGAGGCGGATCCAGGCGCGACGACGGGAATCCTCGTGGAGGCCCACAGAAGGTCGGAACGTCCAAAAACCTCAATCATCGATCCTCGGAACAGCGTTTCAAGTCGTTGGAGGTCTGGGGATGAAAGCGTGCGGTGGCGCGAAAGCAGCGCCCGCACGCCCCAGGAGGCGCCAGGAGAAGAAGACAGATCAGCATAAGCATGAACTCTCAAATGTCTGCGCGGATCGGCGCTGCACCCTGCCCGCCGCCCTGGTACGCGGAGCGCGTCAGGCGGCGATGGAGGTCCAGATACCGGAAATCTGTGCGGACGAAACGTATGCTTATGCCGACGTGCCTCCTTCGTGCAAGGCGGCGGCTCCCGCCAGCGCCCCAGCCGCAAAGCAGGCGGCGCGAGACACGGGCGGCATGCGCGGCTGGCGATGCCGCGGGAGCGCAGACACTCCGCGAGAATCCGAGCCGAGCTGACGTCACTCCCCGGGCCGAGAGAGCCACAGAGGAGGAAGACGAGGACGAGGAAAAGGAGGAGGAGGAGGGCGAGGGAGGAGGGAGGAAGAAAGGGAGGGAAGAAGAGGAGGAGGAGGAGAAAACGGAGATGAGAGGAAGGAGACACGGAGGGAGGAAACGCGAGGAAAGAGGACAAGTGAGGAGCGAAGAGGAGGAGGAAGGAGCGAGAGGAGGAGGAGGAGGAGGAGGAGGAGGAGGACAGCAAGACAAAGACACCTACGAGCCAGAGGAGGAGAAGGAGGAGAGGATAATTGGATTGCGACAGGCTTCGAAGAGGAGGAGCGGCGGAGAGGAGAGAGGCGGGGGTGGAGGATTTGGGAGTGAGGGAGATCATCTAAGCCCTAGGGGGCTCTGCGTGCTCCCGCTCCCTCCCGCTGCCTATCGTCACGGCGCGTCCTGCAAACAACACATGGGCCAGCCCGCCGGCACTGCTGCTGCTGCTGCTGCTGCTGCTGCTGCTGCTAGCGTCTTCGGCATATGAAGACGCCGACGCCCAGAACCGCCGCGACAACACAGACATCGGGCCCAGCCAGCCAGGGACGCCAACCGTCGCCAACCGTCAGCACGCCATACTTATCGTCGAACTCTTTTTGCAGGCCCGTACGCAGACAGAACTTTGGGGCCTTGCTGAATTCACAACATATGGCGGCAAGATCGTCTAGGTGGCAACGGTGGCTCCGGGCAGTCTGTAATGCCCAACGACGGAGAAGGAGACAGGGAACGCGAAGCCTAGGATAACCAAGAAGTGTACAAACATAATTTCTCGGCGGTCCACGCGGATTTTTTGGATGGGCGCCAGGACCCCCTTCCCAGGCGCGCGGAACGCGTCAGGGGCGGCGCCAGAGGCGCCACCAGAGGGTTCCAGCGCAGATCCAAGAAATCCGCGCGGACCTCCGAAAGTACGTGCTTGCACAATTTCCCAAATCTGCTTGAGCCGAGGGGCTCTTACCTAGCAGTAAGAATTTGTTGTTGAATCTTTCTGCTGGCCTCGCCCTTCACATGGCGTTGTTGTCGTTGCTGATGTTGTTGATGATGTTGTTGTTGATGTTGTTGCCGTTGCTGCTGCTGCTGTCGTTGTTGCTACTGTTGTTGTTGGTGATGTTGCTGTTGCTGATGTTGCTGTTGTTGAGATATTGTCGGTGGTGTTGGTGTCGTCGTTGTCATTGCTGGTGTGGCTGTTACTGTTGATGTTGGTGTTATTGGTACGATTAGTATTGTTAGTTTCTGTATTAACGATATTACGAATAGTATTGTTAATTCGCCGGCCCAACGGGCCAGAGGCGTGCTAAGATCTCCGGTAACTGGTTAACAAGTCTCTAGCTCGCGCGCGCGGGGCGGCCCCTGGGGGTCCCCGGACGAAAAGTACCCCGGGCGACTCCCGGCTGATCCCCGGGCGACTCCACCAGAGCGTTCCATGAGCGCACCAACAGGGCTCCGAGACGTCCCCGAGAGCCCCAAGAAAGGCCAAGAGGCCTCCAAGAGGCCCCCGAGATGGTACACGAGGGGTCCGACATGCCACAAGATCGCTCCAAGACGCCCAAGATAGCCCCCAGACGCCCCAAGAGGCCTCCAAGAGCACTCCCAAGAGGGCCCCAGGAGGCAAAATTAATTGTTTTTTCTTAGTTTTTGAAAGATTTTGGAGCTTCCACCTTTTCGGCTTCCCGACGCAAGACGGCCCAAGAGGCCCCCAAGATCGCCCCAAGAGGGCCCAAGAGGCCCCCAAGAGGGCCCCAAGATGGCCCAAGAGGGCTCGAAGACGGCCCAAGAAGCCTCCAAGACGGTCCAAAAGGGCCCCAAGAACGCCCCCAAAGGGGCCCCAGAGAGGGAACACGAAACAACATTTCGAGCCCTCGGCCCTAAGAAGCCCCCACGAGGCCCCAAGAGGCCCCTAAGAGGCCCCAAGAGGCCCCCACGAGGGCCTCAGGAGGCCCCCAAGAGTCCCCCAAGCGGCCCCAGGAGGCCCCCCAAATGCCCCCCCGAGCACGCAAGCAAGTGCAAGCGATGCTACAATGTGCTCTCCTTTCGGTAGACTCCCAACGGGGCCCCTACAGACTTGCAACAAGCGTCAAGAACCTGCCCAAAAAGCACTGTCCAGGAGCGTTCACAAGTGCCGCGAAGAAGCCCTCCTTACGCCGGAAAGCCCGGAAAGCCGGGTGGGGTGAGCTGTTCTTCTCACCACCGCGCCCTCTCACACAATGGCTTCCGCACGCCGCCCAGAGCGCGACGTTCGGCTCATGCCCCCAGAACGCTCCAGGAGCGCGCCAAAACGGCACCGGAACGCCCCCGAAACAATCCAAGCGGCCTCAAGTCGCCGAACAATCGTTCCAAATCGCCCACGATGACCTCAAAATTGCCGTCGAGGCCGCCAAGAAGCCCCAAGAGAGCCTCAAGAGGCCCTCCAAGACGGCCATTACAATCAATTATCCCGGCAAAGCAACCTAACAGCGATGTGTAGGAGCATATCTGGAAGCATTCCCCTTAAGATTCAGATAAGAATCCTGTTGTAGAATTCTGCTGTTCTCGCAGTCGTGGTCGCATTCGCGATGGCAGTCGCAGTGGCAACAGCAGTCG